GGGGGAAGGATTGCCTGAGCCCAGCATGTCAAAGCTGCAGTGGCTGTGAGCAGCATGCCACTGCACTCCATCCTGGGCGACAGAGTGAAACTCTGACTCAAAAAAAAAAAAAAAAAATCCAAGGGCTGCTGTTTAAAAGAAATAAAACAGAAATGCCTATCAAGGCTGACCGATAAAAAAATATAAGAATAGGCCAGGCTCGGTGGCTCAGCCTGTGACCTCGTCTCTACAATAAAACAAAAATTAGCCGGGCATAGTAGTGCATGCCTGTAGTTCTGGCTACTTGGAAGGCTAAGGCAGAAGGATCGCCGGAGCCCAGCAGGTCGACACTGGAGTAGCTGTGAGTGTGCCACAGCACTCCAGCCTAGGCGACAGAGACTCTAACTCAAAAACATATGTAGATAGATATAGATATAGATATAGATATGAATAGACACAAAAGTATAGCAAAGAATGAAAACAGCAATGTAACCATAAACATGTTAAAAATTTTAAGTATAAGTGATTACTATGTACAACTCTATGGAAATAAATTTGAAAATCTAAATTAAGTGGATGTTTTTCTTTAAAAATATAACTAAAATTGACCAAAGAAGTACCTGAATTACACTGAGTAAAAGAATCCAGACTTAAATGAATATATACTGTCTGATTCTAGAATAAACAAAATTTACCTACAGTGACAGAAATCAAACTGGCGGTTACCTACGGCAGGAGGAGAGAGAAATGATTTCAAGAGGATCCAACAGAACTTTCAGGAGATGGATGCAATCTATATGCTGATTTGGGTGTTGATTATCAGGTTGTATCTTTGTCAAAACTCTAGGAATTATGCACTGTGGCTCAAGCCTGTAATCCCAGCACTTTGGGAGGCACAGAGGCCAGAGGATTGCCTGAGCTCAGGGGTTCAAGACCAGCCTGAGCAATAAGGCAAGACCTCGTCTCTTCAATAATCAAAAACTCAGCCACGTGTGGTGGCACATGCCTGTGGTTCCAGCTATGTGGAAGGCTGAGGCGGAAGGACAGCCTGAACCTAGCAGGTCAAGGCTGAGGTGGCTTTGAGCATGCCACTGTACTCCAGCCTGGGTGACAGAGTGACACTCTGACTCAAAAAAAAAAATTGGGGGTCTACAATGTGATCGAAAAAAAACCCCAATGACTAGGCTGGGCGTGGTAGCTCATGCCTATAATCCCAGCACTTTGGAAGGCTGAGGTGAGAGGATTACCTGAGCCTACAGGCTCAAGACCAGCCTGGGCAACCTGGTGGAGAGCTCATCTCTACAGTAAATAAAAAAATTAGCAGAGCATGGTAGAGCGTGCCTGTAGTTATAGCTACTTGGAAGACGGAGGCGTAAGGATCACCTGAACCCAGCAGGTCAAGGCTGCAGTGGCCATATGCCACTGCATTCCAGCCTGGGCAACAGAGTGAGACCCTGACGCATAAAATAAAATAAAAATAAATAAAATAAAATATGTGTATTTTATCATATGTAAACCGCAACTCAATAAAGTTGAAAAAAGTTAAAATAATAAGTATGCAACAATAACACCAATTTTATTACAATATTTTTATAAGTGATCAACTCCAAGATGTCCACCAATAAAGAAATTAAAAGTATAATAAGTTTTTATTAACATGAAAAGATAATCTTAATATTTTGCTAAGAGAAAAAAATGATCATAATAGGCATAATATAGAATCTTCTATTTATTAATACATGGTTCTAATTTACTTGCCTATGTTCACAGAAAAAAGTGTAGAAGATATAAAACAAATAAGTTATAATTCTGAATAGTATCTTCAGGAAGATTTAATTCTTTTCTAGTCATTTTAAAATAATGAATATGTATTGCCTACAAAATAAATAATATATATTCTGAAAAATAAGAAAGCTGATCATTACTTTTAGTCAGTACACATTTTTATTAGATTAGCAGTGTCATAGAGAGTATTCCAAGGTCAACAAATAATGATCATTCTAGGATAGTAACATCCATAATCTAGTATTTCACAGTAGTATGAAATAACTTAGAAAACAATGTAAGTTTGAAAAAAATAGCACAAACCTGAAATAGGAAAGATCAGAAATCAATGAAAGCTAGAGAAGAGGTAGATATTAAAAAAGAACTAACAGATTTCAGAAATCAAAGAAGAAAATTAGAAGAACAAAAAAACATTTCAAGAATAAAGTAGGAAAAGCACAAGAGAGAAAATACCTTGTGAAAAATATGGTAAGAAAAAATTATGAAAAACAGAAAAGTGAAAAAATATGACAAAAAGGATTTCAGAAGAAGTAACAGACATACAGACAGAAGAAATCTAATATAAAGAAAAGCCAGGAGCCGTGGCTCACACCTGTAATCCCAATACTTTGGGAGGCTGAGGTGAGAGGACTGCCTGAGCCCACAGGTTCGAGACCTGCCTGGGCAATATGGCGAGACCTCATCTCTACAAAATCAAAAAATTAGCTGGGCATAGTGGCGCGTGCCTATGGTTCCAGCTACTTGGAGGCTGAGGCAGAAGGATCACCTGAGGCCAGCAGGTTGAGGCTGCAGGAGCCATGAGCGTGCTACTGCACTCCAGCCTGGGCAGCAGAGTGAGACTCTGAGTAAAAAAAAATTTAAAAATAAAACTATATATATATATAAAGACAGACAGAAAGGGTCAGAAATGGTGGCTCACACTTGTAATCCTAGCACTTCAGGAGGCCAAGACAGGAGGATCACTTAAGTCCAGGAGTTCCAAAGCCAGCCTGGACAACACAGTGAGATCTCGTACCCACAAAAAATTCAAAAATTCTTTGGGGCCGGGCTCAGTAGCTCAGCCTGTAATTACAGCGCTTTGGGAGACCGAGGTGAGTGGACTGCCTGAACCTGCGGGTTCGAGACCTGCCTGGGCAACTTGGCGAGACCTCATTTCTACAATAAATCAAAAATTAGCCAGGCGTGGTAGCACACGCCTGTAATTTCAGCTACTTGGAAGGCTGAGGCGGAAGGACCACCGGAGCCCAGCAGGCCAAGGCTGCGGTGGCTGGGAGGTGCCACTGCCCTCCAATCTGGGTGACAGAGTGAAACTCCAACTCAAAAAAATAAAAATTAAAATATTAAAAAATAAAATAACAATCAGTTGAGTGTGGCGATGCATGCCTGTAGTTCCAGCTACTTGGGAGGCTGAGAAAGGAGGATCATCTGAGGCCAGGAGGCTGAGGCTGCAGTAAGCCAGGATCGTGCCACTGCACTTCAGCCTGGGCTTCAGACTGAGACTCTGTCTCAAAAGAATAAAAACAAAGATAGAATGGAGTCCCTGAAGAAGAAAAACAAGCTTTGGAACAAGGCAAACATTTAAAACTATAGTTACAGAAAAAAAATTCTGAAATAGATGAAAACAACTTTATATCCTAGTCAAACTATTAAACTTTTAAGACAAAGCAAACATTCAAATTATCTTTTTTGTTATCCAGGAAAAAAAAAATTCCCGTTCACTTAAGTGGGAGAGATGATCATACTAGCATAAGAATTCTCACCAACATTTCATGCAACATTGAGATATGGAGAGAAAATATAGGTCAAGGATTTTAGTCAGCCAAATCTACAAAAACTTTGTAGAAAATACTGTTTCTTCTTAAGGAATCTCCTAGTCAACACATATCAGGCTATCACAAAACAATACAAGAAGCTCCAATGTAAAGAAAATATGAAAGACAAATCCAGAACATGGAACACTTTCCCAGGGATTCTCTTGCTGAATATGCTTCAGACAACCAAAAAAAAAAAAAAAAAGTGTTTTGAAAAGTTTCAATATAAGATAAATACTGGGGAATGGAAAAACTAATAAATCCATAAGACTCCACAACACAAAACATAAAAAAACTTATTTTTGCAACAAATCAATGACACGAAACAAGGTGTTAGGGATGGAGGTGGAACAGGGGGTTATGACCCGTAAATAACCAAAGATAACATATGAACCTTGTTTTCATTTCAATTCGAAAAAAATCAACTATAAAGTCATGTTTAAGTAGACAAAAATCCAATTTTGGATTTGTTACCATATGCAATAAGAAATCATTAATTTTGTTAAGTATGAAAATGACATGTAAGATGACTTTTTTTAGAGATACATACTGAATTATTTAAATATAAATCAATAAATTTGGGGTTTACCTTCATACAAAAGGACAAAAGAGAAAAAAAAAGATGAAGCAAATATGGAAGTCTTGTTAACTGTTGAATATGGATGATGAGTAAATGGAAGCTTACTGTATTAGCCTTTCTACTTCTGTGTATATTTGAAACTGTTCATAAATAAAATCAGATGGTTTAGTATCCAAATAACACAAAAGCATACTACATGACAATAACAAACATAAGTACTGATCAGAGGATGTTGTGTTTTTTTAATGTCTTTCTTTCCTACACACACACACACACACACACACACACACACACACACACACACACACGATGCAGAAAACAGATACAGAAAGATACAAACTGAAAGATACAGATAGAAAAGGTGGGAGACAGCCTCATTATTTTTTTATAGAAAGGGTCCTAAAAATAGGAAATTCTCTTATCTATCTAATTTTAAAATACTAAAGTCCAAAAATGTGCTGAGGAGCACAAGTAGAGAAAGAAACTTGGAAGTTATTTCCCAAATGTATCATATAGTATCTGTCCATTTTACACAAATCTTTTAATCTTCTGGACTTCCAGTTCCTCAGTTACATAAAGAGGATAACAGATGACCTATCTTCCTCTGTGTTACTGTAGGATCAAATACAGTACAGGCAAAATTTCTGTGCATATGTAAACATAATATAAACATAAAGGCATATAAATCAAAGCAGTTCAGATATTTGTTAGCTCTTGCCTTTGTAAATTTCAATTACTTAAAGTAAAATAAATATTAACTGTACTTATCACTTTCTAATTCTCTTATTTTCTAAGTTAATACCATACATATCACAATTTAACTGAGTATCTATTGTTATACTCACTACTCCTGTGTAATAGCGTAGTCCAACCACATGACCTCTTAAAGTTCCAAATAAAACTGAATCTAGCTCTTCATCACTAGTGAGGAAGTCATCTGGAGGGATAACATCTTGGAATTCAAAACGTGGAAAGAAAGTTGGATATGAGAGGCGTGGAAAATTTCCATGGACTCCATATTGGACAGTCTGCAAGTACTTCCAAACAGGATCCCTATTGAAAAAAAAAAAAGACACAGAAAAACAGCATCATACTTAACCAAATATTTCTAAAGACCGTACTAGCATTTATAGGGCAATAGCTTTTTCACCCTTTATTTCAGCAAATGAAATCTTAAATGGGAACCAGTTACTCTGGTTAAGGCAGGAATTGGATGCAGTGAGACGGGAAGGCTTCCAGGAACCCTCTCTGCTCAATACTGGCTCGTCTATCCCTACAGGTATTCAAAATGAAAAACCCAGTAAGGGTTCACAAATCTCTTTCCTAGTGAAAATCATCTATTTAAATGGAAATATATGTGATGTCAGTAACCACAATTATATGCCAAAATGTCAATAGGGATTTTGCCCATGAAACTGTATTTTTTCAGGTAATACGCCCAGCACACGTTAATTCCCTCCGAACAAAACACTTTTTTCAGGTATCCAAACCATGCCATCAAGAGAAACTGACCTCACGCCTGTGACCTCACCTCGTTGATGGAAAGGTAACCCACCCCCCTTAGGTGTAATTGTTTCAGGAACGGGCATGAAAATCAATGTGGACAATGAAAAGTGAGGAGAGAAATCTACTGGGGGATTTCAGGAAGTTTCCATTATCCTAAGAACAGACAGTCGCTTATGTGTCCTGCGTTTTCCTCCCAAGTCGCGCGCACCTTTTGGCTCCCCTGCAAATCTATATTTGCACGTCTGTGCCTGCACAGAAATTGGGAGCTACTCCGGGACAAGGGCTGTTCCTTGGCTCCCCTCTCCGATCACAATGCCGAGGGCACGGTGGACATCTCATGCATGTTTTGTTGAATAAAGCACGGGCCGCGCAGCTTGCAGCCCGGGCCCCCCGCAGCCTGTGACAGTGATTTCCCAAGGCCCTGGCACGAGACGCGCCCGAGCAGCCTCTGCTCGCCAGCCAAGACAATGCATGTATTCCTCCCGCGGCCACACGGGCGACCCGCAGAACGAATAACAGCTGCACAAATCGCCCGGGTAACGCCAAGGGGCCGCGGGGAAGGTCAGGTTCATTTGGGGACGCCTCCAGGCCGTTAGCCTCAGCGCCCCACCCCCTCCGCCCCCTTCACCTCTTGAACATCCAGGACATGGCGCTGAGCGGGACGACAAGGGAAGCGCCTGGGCGTCCCCGGATCGTTCTCGAGCCGCCTCGATAGGCCTTCTTCCAGGCCCCACAGCCCAGAAGCCGGAGACCGGTTCCGAGCGCGGAATCGAGCGCGCACGACTGAAGGCTAAGACGCAGCAAGCCCAGTCAGACGTCGACGCCGTCTCCTTCTAGCAACAATCTGAGCGACCAGCGACGCTCCGTGACTGGCACTGACAACGCCCAATCGCGAGGAGGAGACTGCGGATACAAGCCAATCAGGGCACGGAGAGGCGGGCGACTCCGCCCCGCGCTGCCATTCAAAGACGGTGGGGGGTCCCGGCAGTAGGGGCGGTTCCATCCGGGTTCTTCCCCGCCCCCAAGGCGGTCGCGCGGGAAAGCCACGCGGCCCCGGGGGTGCGACTGCGGTGCCCGCGGTACCCGCAGAGCCGGCGTTTTCTGCTCCATCCTCCGCCTCTAACCAAGGAAGACGACTGTCCTTTCCGTTAGCGCCCTCGAGTCCCAAGTCCCAGCTCCATTCTTCAGGCCCTCTTTTGTCCTGCCTTTCATTTTGTGCTCAAGTAAAGCGACACGTAATGGGGTCCTCCACCGAATGTGGTCCGCTGCTTGCGATCCCCGAAGCCCCCCACGAGACTGTCCTTCGCTTCCTGTATTGAATCCTGGGGATTTGCGCTCAAAAGTTTCGCTTAAAATGGCTCATCAGAGCATCTAGGAGACACTCGGAGTTCGGAAAATCTTCCCTGGAACGTACAGAAGCCCCCTCCCAGCTGTGTGTGTGTTTCTTTTGAGTCGGGGGTCCCATTCTATCAGTCAGGTTGGAGAGCAGTAGTTCTATCGGGGCTCACCGCAGCTTCCACCTTCTAGGGCTTGGGAGAGTAGCTGGGACTACAGATGCGCATCACTAGGCCTGGTTAATTTTTGGATGTATTTGTGTAGAGAGGAGGTCTCGCTGTGTTGCCCAGGCTGGTTTCTGACTTCGGAGCTCAAGCAGTGCTCCCGCCTGGGCCTCCCAAAGTGTGGGATTGCAGGCAAATTTTCTTTTTCTTTTCTTTTCTTTTTTTTTTTTTTGAGTCGGAGTGTCACTCTGCCGCCCAGGCTGGAGTGCAGTGGCACGCTCATGGCCACCGCAGCCTAGACCTGCTGGGCTCAGGCAATCCTTCCGCATCAGCCTTCCAAGTAGCTGGAACCACAGGCGAGCGCCAACACGCCCAGCTGATTTTTTTTTTAATCGTAGAGACGAAGTCTCGCTATGTTGCTCAGGCTGGTCTCGAACTCCTGGGCACAGACTCTCACCTTCACCTCCCCAAACGCCGGGATTACAGGCGTGAACCACTGCGCTCCGCAAATTTTCATTTCTGAGTACAGGAAAGCCCTGACAGATGATCATCGCACAGTTAACTTTGAGGGCGGTGCAGGAAGTGGTGGGCGGGGCCAGCGTGAAGAAGCTTGCTTTCCCCTGGGGGACCGCAGGGGGCGCTCTGTGGGGCGAGTGGGCATACGAGGTGGTGGGGCTCCGAGCAACAGAGACAGAGTATAAGAGAATTCAGGCCCAGGGCGGTTGGTCGGCCTGTGGGTGGCGAAGAGGCTGCTGCCCCAGAGTAGGACTGCTCACTGCCACACAGGATAGGGATTTGGTGGCTAGTAGGACCCGTTGTCACGGTCAGGAGAGGATTGACGGATCGGAGAGGAAAGGTATTTGCAAACATGGCAAATATTGACACTTGCCCTTCATGCAACGGTCATTTTACACTCCCATCAGCAGAGGGTGGCAGGTGGTCAGTTTGTCAAGAGGCATTTGCTCATTATCTTTTTCTTTTCTTTTTTTTTTTTGAGTCGGAGTCTCACTCTGTCGCCCAGACTGGAGT